ATTATTGTCAGAATTAGGTACAATAATAAATGTTTCCATCTCAGTAATAGTGTTCTCTTCGTAAAAGTATACCACTACACTGACAACACAAACTGTTCATATGATAATGAACTAATCTTATGTATAAAATAATAATTGACCTGAAGGAATTATTAGGTTAGAGAAGTGGGTGAAACTTGGGTTGTACGAAATAATGATTAGAAGAGATTGAGTGTATAAAGAGCTTCATTTGCTGTTACCTGTTCAAAAATCTATTAAGTCAGAGCTAGGACAGTCGGACAGCGAACAAACGACTATCTACAGGGATCCAGTCCAGGACAGATAGTTCAGCCCTACCTTTCAATGCTATACTTACGCCAGCGAGACCCAGGGAAGCGGCTTCAGGGCTACCGGAGACACGAAAAGTAAATCGAGTTGGTTATTTATTTTGGCAAGGTGAAATCAAATTATTGACTTTACTAGGATCCTGAACGCGCGTTTCCGAGACTTAGCATACATTGATCACCTGGGATTCCAGAGCTCTAGCTAATGAAGCCTGTTGCCCTATTTTGCATAGGGTCCGAACATTAAAAGCTCCTATATGTACTTTAGTACGGGGTTTCAAGCGATCAGGAATAATGTTTCGTGAGCTCATACCGTTTGCTTCAGTGGTGTGAGGTGATAAGCGATCGAAAGAAGGGTTGGTCGAGGAGATAAGAGAGTCATTAAGAGGTGTAGAAAGGATTTGATTGTGAGAAATTTGGTCTTGTGTGTTTTTATGGGTATGAGGGCGGTTGTCACTTCCCGGCTACTCACACCAGAATAGAAACGGAAATATAATATTCAATCAACTTAATGTCTAATAAGATTATTGTAAACTCTCCAGATATACACAGCTTACTCAAACTTGTAGATCATCCTTTTCAAACTGCAATCAATTTCATTCATATAATAACCAATTCATTATGTGTGCTATCCGCTCATTATTATTACTTTTGTAACAAAAAAACATTACAGCTTACAACGAAGCTAAAAACTGGAAAATTAAAAACAGAATAATTGATAGGATAGTTATAAATGTCATTTTTGCTTATGCTTTGAAGAGACTAGAGACAATCTCACTGAAATTAATGCATCTAATATATTTTGCAATTCAATAAATCATCAACCAATCATTATTAGAACCCTATTAGAAACCTGGAAGTACTGGACGGCCCTTTCGTCCTGGTATGAGATTCATCACCAGTACACATCCATGACTCCTGCTACTCACAGCATTCGAATCCAGCACCTTCGGTCTTGTGCTTGAACGCCTAACCTCTGGACCAATGATCTCCATAGCTCTGATTTAAATAACTAAACACACAATTGCACTAAAATTTATTGATGCATTCATTGGAAACAAGTACAACCTCAAAGTATCACTATTCACCGAAAATATGTTTCTGACGTACATAGACGACACCTTTAGCATTATAAAATAAAATGAATTAGATGGACTTTTCTATAAATATCAACAGTCTATCTTACAGCATCACTTTTACTAAGGAAACACACTGACTGGTGAAAAATGAACATCATACCAAAAGCAAGCATATTCAGAGAAATATCTAGATTACAATTGAGCACAAACCAATTCTATCAAGGTGATGGTTGCTTAGAATCTGCGAAAGAGTTCAGAAAAAGGATAAAAAAAATTGAATTATAGAGAAACTGAGTTGAATTTGGTTACGTCCACTTCGATGATGATGATGATGATGATGATGATGATGATGATGATGATGATGATGATGATGATGAATTATCTTTGAAACTTTTTAAAAAGAACAATTGACAAAGAAAGTCGAATAGAATAAAAACTGAGACAATGGATCAATAATGTCTTCACTGAAATCGTCATAACGCCTTACTCTAATATACATATTCATATGGAAATATTCAACCGATTAAGGCAATTGCTGAATGAAGGATCACTATGAAATTGACAATATAACGATACATAATAGTTAAAAAAGTACAAATTAATAGTAAAAAGACTAGTATTGATATGAATAGTGCACATAATCAAAATTTTAGTCAACAACAATTCAACAAGAATTCTGTTAATAATTAGATTGTGGTGAGAATAAACATAACTGAGAAAAGATGTGATTGATCTGAAAAATGTAATGTATTTGAGTTATACATTTCGAACAATCTGGTCACACGTATACATACATATCAAGGCATTTTATGTGAAGAATAAAAAATGTTCAACTAAATAAAAGTTCAAAACAAACATAAGATGATAACTGTAAATATAGTGGATAGAGAAAATTAAAGTAATATAGAAAGAATAAGAAATGGTTGTAAATTGTCACATCACCCTAGGCCACAAAATGGCTTAGCGATAACCAGGGTGAATCCAAGGTTATAACAAACTGTTTCAATGCACATAAGTCAGAGTTTTAATTGACGAAGAATACCCAAGACTTCCATAAACCTCCGAATTCGTCTTTCAACGTTTCTATACAATGTTTTGAAGGTTGTCATGAGGTCAGTCTTATGCCATCTGAATTATATGTTTTGCGATCGATGAACATGGTTTTCTATTTTCAACAGAGTTGTGTATTTTCCCTGTTTGGCCTTTTCTTTAATTCACCTCTTATTATGTAGGCAACAACAATTACTTTCGTTTATTCATTTATCCTTATTTTATGCATTCTGTGACATTTTTGATACACGTCATCTCATAAATGATGATTAATTTCATCGAATTCTCAGTCAAAAATGATATCTAGTTAATCGTGCATCAGATCTACATACACAGCCACATAGCTGTTATCGTGGCACAGTTTTCTCCACTGTTCACATCAAATGTTTCATAAACAGTAGAACAAGCATTGTCAACGTGATTAGATGACTTATTTACAGTACAATTAATTGGTGAACCGTATATTTTTAATCAATAATTTTGATGTTGGATTATAATTCCTTGGGGAAAACAAATTTAAACCGGACTTTAAAGTAATATCGTTGAGATTTTCACAATTTCAAAATTTCCTCCTTATTATCTTACATCAACTCAACTGATATAAAATTTTAATCAATACTTGATAATTTTCATAGTTTGAATTTGGAGCTGATCTTAGGTAGGCTACCAGTGAATACCTAGAGGCATTAGACAGTTTTTCGTCCTATTATGGGACTCGTCTAGGGATTGAGCCTAATGCTGAAGAATCTTTGATCAAGACAATGCTGCCGTCCAGGCATTCCCATAATATCAGTTCCTGATTTATACCATGAAAATTCCACAATCTCCACAAATTCTCCATTTACTAATAACTAATATCTTATTGTGTCCTATAATTAACAAATCGAGCTAGACTTTATGTAATGTAATTTAAGATGATTTATTATTTTACGTAAAGCAGAATGAGATATAATGAAACATTAAAAACTTTTTTTTAAAAATGTTAATCACTTTGTCCAAATATTCATATACACACGAGTACAAGTTATGCAAAGTAAAAAGTGAAATATCGATGTTGTATGCTTTCTAAAACTGTTTTCCAGAAAGACAACAATTTTTACTGAATACCAAAAATTAAATAATAACTCAGAATTGTGAATTAAACTAGAAATAAAAAATTTCAAAAAATTAGTGAATAAATACTAATAGTTTTAATTTATTGCGAAGATTCTACTTTTAGGTTAGGACACAGTCCTACAGAATCAAAATCAAAACGTTAAACTTGTATTATCTAAAGTTTCAGTGGTACAAAATTCATCACGATGAGCAGTGATCATTATTCAGTATCATCTAGAAGCATTTATATTAATTTCCAACTGTGTGTTCGTACGTTGTTCCTCTGATATAACTGCAAAGTAAGAGATATCTCTGTAAATCTTCCGCGGAATCTGGATATATAGCACTTGTGCTTAGTAGCTCTTGTCTAACAAATATTTCAAAACCATTAGGTGTCTTGTTCATTGAAATAATCAACAATACATATTTAACCCAATTAGTGGTTTCATATCAAATGTTTGACTTGTAAACCTCAATATTTTACACTTCGATGAGACACTAGATAAGTATCGAGTCATGAAAGATGCACTTCATATTGCCAAATATGAATTTTGCTAAACGTTGATCGATGATAGTAAATACTTTCAGTTTAGGTCATAAATTTCTATTTAGTCATATCGGTTTCCTACTCTGAACTTTCATGCAATCAATGTCAGTGTCATTTTAGGGATTATTTCCAGTGCAGTCTTGCAATAAAATTGAATCATTCAATAAAACAGGTGGTTAAATACATTTTTACACTTTGGGTATAGTAAAATCTCCAGACAAAATTAGATCGAACTAATTTAAATTTATTTTTTCTTTCGATGCAATATAGAACACGAGATGAACGAGATGGACGAGGTGGATACCGCACACATTGTTGACTGTTGTATGTAATTTGACCACTAATCAATGTAGCTAATATTATGTATGCAGATGCCTATAGTCAATTTCGTCATCATTTTCTCAATGGGTTGTTTGCATTGTGCTAGAAATTGAATTTTGTTAGTTGTAGGTTAAACTATGGTTTATTATGTTATTAAATTGCATTAAAATGCAAGAAAACGAGTTCTATTTTTACTAACTTTGATTGTATTTCAATGACGTGGCAACATGTTTTTTATTAAATTTTGTGCAACAATCAACCAATGAGCTCAAAGATGGTTATTTCAATCTTGTCATTGGATTTCTGAGAAATAGTAATGTCAGCACATAAAGCTTCTTGCTTTCACTGTTACCTTGAATAATTGAAACAAAAACTTTATGTACCCATGAGATCTGTATTACAGTATATTCAAATAACAAGGTGACAATCAATAGAATCATTTCTATAATTAAATAGTTGCTTATAGTCTGGAATTTTCTTCTGTGTGTTAATTGACCGATTGGTTTGAAAAGAACAAATAAGCTTCTAGCATAAAAATAATTGGAAAGCAATGGAATCTGTACTTTTAGTCGTTTAGTTATAAAAATGATGCACTCAGAAAATACATCAAAAACACAAATGAACAGTATCATTCAAGAAGCAGACAAGTTAACGGCAGAAGGTCAATTTCACAAAGCTTATGATCATCTCAAAGTTTCATTGAAAACTTACGATGATGTTGAATTGTTATGGCGATATGCTCGAGCGTGTTATCTTTGTGGTAATGTTCTTTCTTCTTCTCATTATTATTATTATTATTATTATTATTATTATTATTATCTTGATGAACAATTGTGTTAATAATAATGATACTAATTATTAATTATTCTTGTTATTAGTTTATTATGTTCCAACGAGACCAAGTAAAGAACACTGTGAAAAATATTTCACTGAAGGAATGCATGCTGGTAAGAAGGCAATGGAAAAAGATCCTAATCATGCTAATTCTTTGACGGTATTTTGATATTTTCATATAAGTTATTTATCTAATCATTACATTCTACTCATTAGTGGTATGGTATGTTATGGGATGAATGCAATCAGATAAAAGGTTTGGAAGAAAGATTCAAATATGCTCCACAATTATATGATATATGGATGGTAAGTTGATGTGTTATTCAATCATTTGATAATTGATGTATAATGAAAGAAATCGCAGAAGATTGATCCGAATAATTTTATAACTGAAAGCAGTATAGGAATGTGGTAAGTGTTATTACACTGATTACATATTTCATTACATCTATTCAAGGCATCTAATTATGACAGATGTATATAATACAAAACCAGAACTGTTTAAAGGTACACAATTTACTGGAAAGGAATTTTCTTATGAATTGGTATGTAGTGAATAAATTGTTTGATGAAAATGCATTAATTTTATATAGGCATTAAAGTATTTGTTGAAATCTGAAGAATGTAAGTATTGTCTACTTGATAGATATGTACGTATGTACAGAAATGTTGATGAACTTTTCAATGACTAAGTGAATGACTTGAATTTTCTTTTCTTTCTTTTAAAAACACCAATATGGAGTGGCTCCTATGAGATCGGTAATGACACTATCGTATTTAGCCAAATGCTATGCACGTCTGAAAGAAACAGACAAAGCAAAAGAGGTTTGTCACAAAGTACTCAATTATCCAGTAAAGCACGTTGAAGCACAGGAGGTAAGTAGATAAATGTTGATGTAAGTGTTTTGGCATTGCATTACATTGTGTTTAAGATTAGTTAGTTGAAGATAATCATGAAAACGCTTTTCACATAGATCACACTAATTCTAGTTGAAACTCTGTAGCAATGTGGATTTGGATACATGAAGAAACTAACAATGATCATGAGATTTGAGATTTCAGTGTTAGCACTGTGGGATTTGTTGATGGAATGAATGCACTTGTGAACAGTTTTAGTCATCATAGTGTAATATCAGGAGTTACTGCGTTTGCAAATCGATATGTTGAAGTCTAAACACCAAAATACTTGTTTAGAAATGTGTATTTTACTCGAAGAATCGATGATTTCTCAAATAAATGGAATTTTCAGATTGTGAAATGATTCTTTTGTAATTAGTGAATGGAATTAGGTCAGTAAACTATTTCTTTCATTCAGACTGTTGTCATATTGTAATTACTGCATTATACCTAGATAGTAGATTAAGTTTGTCGGCATTGACCCCATTTCTTGAGATTCCTTTGTAGAGTCGTATTTCATTGACATGAATTTTTAATTATCTCACTAATTGAACAATTTTTGTCTTGTGTACAATAGTTTGCTCACTTTTCATCTGTAATATCATCATCAATGTATTATTAATATTATCTAGGAAAATGTCTGCCAAATTATTATTACTATATATATATATATCTTTGATAATTTATAGGCTAAGATAGAAGTTGAAGAATTAATGAAGACACTTAAATGATTGTGTGTTTGAACAAAAAATGATTTGTCTTCTATCACATTACAGTTTCTAGTGTTCACTAACGTATTTTGTAGTGCTTTACGTGAATGAATATTTTATGAATATATTTGGTGTTTGCTCACAATGGACTTTGTTATTTCAGTGCTGAACATTCAGTTAGATCGATAATTGCTTCTCCAAACAGGTATCTGTAAACAATCGTGTCTGAATGTTCTAGAACATTTTTCTAACCATAAAAGAAAACATGTTGCTATTACTCGCTTAATTTATCATGGTAGCATTACGACTAGAGAAGTTAGTTCGAATATGTCATTTATACATATATAGGCAACTGAACTCATTGAATATATTATTAGTTGAGCTGGTTCATTAAAGTTTCAAAATATGCATAGATGAATGATTATCACCACAATCCAGTTATTGAGGGGGCTTATCGGAAGACTGTAATAATAAATGATATGTGATCAGTGAACAATAATTCTGTCTACCTTGTCTTCATGTGAAAGAAAGCGAACTGATATTCAAGAAACAGAAGTACTCGTAATAGTTAGTCTTAACTCATTTGTGAAGAAACCTAGTTGTTCAATTCAGTAGTATATTACAGTCATGTTGTTTGCATAAAAATTAAGGTGTGTTGGGGATGTGAAGCATCTGGAAGATTGTGATTTCTTATATAACCAGAAGGAGAGGAATAACTTTCAAGATTATTCTTTTGTTCAATTTTATCTATTCAATTAAAATACGCTTTAAACTAGTGGATCCATCACCTGGTAAGATAGAATAGTTTATTCGGAAAGCCTTCGATTTTTAAGAGCTGAAACAACATAAGCAATCAAACGCGTGTGACATTGGTTGACAGTTCTCACTAATATATTTAAAATGAATGATTGAGGTGAGACAGTAATTGCCGATATCTTTTTAAACGTCTACAGAGCGCTTCTATGATCGGATTACATTAATGCACCGTTACCGAATCTGTAATTCTTTCAGAATTAGAAATATTCTCTAATGACCACTGTTTTTGTGAATAAACAGAAATTCATTTAGGCAATATGAGGCACTTAAATGAAACGAAATTGATGATATAACTGATGCTGTACGAGGATCTTTTCTCACTCTAAACAAATCCTGTTCCAGGTGAGTAACGTTACTAACATAAAGGAAAATTTATCGCAGTAATACAATTGGAACAAAAAGATGAGTGTGGGTATATTATGGTGTTTGAACAAGGTGTGGTGTAAGGCAGGATGATGAGTTTTGCGTAAACGATTAGTCGTCTATAGGCGCCATCATCATATCCTAATTATCAGTGACTCTGAAATCGACCCAAAGTTTATTTATTCTGTTCTGTTAATACGTGAAGAAGGCTTCATAACCAGTGATAAACATTACTCCAGAACAAGGTTAGTGTTCAAGAAGCAAAGTTACGAACCTCTTAAAATTCCACTGCTAAACGCACTTCATATTTGAGTGATTTCATTGATACTACTAAAACTAAAACCAGTAGCGCATTTGTGACGCGAAAAGTTTGTTCACCCTTATGACTGGGTGTATTTCTTCTCAGTCACATGATCAAATCAAATCCGGACCTTGTATATATCCAGTTCCCATTTCCGATGTCCCATTGGTAGGCAAAAATAGAAATTCCCCTCATAGAACAGATATCCTAAATCTTGATGCTAAAGTTGGACTCGATAGTTTCAGAAAAATCAAGCATTCGGTGGAAATAAATATAATATTTGGTGATATTCTAATTAGTAGAAATTTGTTTCTGACGTTTATTGACTTAATTAATTCACTACTTTAGAGTAAATAAACACATCAGTGATCTAATTCGTAAAAAAGATTCCATTACTATGATAAAGTGGAACATTAAATCACCTAATTAATAATACCGTCTTGTATTGTACCCAGTAGGGAATAAGTTATCCACAAATATTCACCAGATCTCTTTTTATCAGTTTCATCTTCAATCATAGTTTTATTATCTTAAAGGATCATGACATTTACCACACTAAATATATGCGTGCATGACACAATATTATCACGAAACGTCAGCTTCTTCCACGGTGTGAGCAGCCGGGAAGTGACAGATGCCCTTATACCCGTAACAGCACACGAGACCGAATTGGTCACAGTCAGACGCTTCTTACACCCCCTGACATCCCTCTTATCTCTACGAATCACCCTTCCCACATCCGTTTATGACTCTGAACCGCTAATGCAAAATATTCGAGTTCACGAAACGTTATTTTTGATCTCCGATAAACCCAGTTCTAAACCACATGTTGGAGCGTTCAGTGTCCTATAGCTTTCCTTAGCTAGAACCTTAGAATCTCGCGCCATCGATGTAAGCTGCAACTCCGAAACGCGCTTACAGGATGCGAGTGGCGTCATTCTTTTGACCTCATCATTTAACAATAAACAGTTCGATTTACTCTACGTGTATCTAGAAGCCCTATTGCTGCTTCTCAGGGTCTCGCTATTGTAGGTATAGCATTGAGTCCTAGGGAAGAACTAGCCTCCGTAGACTGCATTCCGACAGAAAGTCACTTATGCGCTCTCCGACTGAACGGGATAGTAAGGCCTCGGAAAGATAGAGGCACTCACAGTTGCCTCCTCGTTGTCTCTACCCACGCTCCCACTGACTCCCGACCGAAGCTGCTACCTTGACGTGGTGGTCGGGCTTGCCTATCGTGATGACCCAACCGAGCTATACTGGCTGGAACATATGTTCCTGCAGGTCCTACCATGCCAGGCAGGTCGATTGGAGAACGATGAGACTAAAAGCAGCTACCCAAGGTCTGAGGGCGAAGTCGTACTGCTGACTGCAGAGGGGTGTGACAGCAGTAAGGTGTTTCCCTCGGACAACCAGCATCTGCAGCGATGCTGCCTTCTCACAAGGAAGGAAGGGTTAGAAAAGGTCGGCCCTAAAAATGTCACACTCCCCCTAACTCACGGATTTCCGTCTCCTTGGGTAAGGGTGCCCACTAAGGGCCTTTAAGAACGGAGCTAATCCTCTAAATACCTCTCATAAAAAGGCCGTGCGTGACCGGCCTCAAGCAGTTGTCCGTTGGGCTCTGCGGTCACGCACCAACACTAATCTATCTTCCTTTTCAGGTCCCTCAAGAAACAACCTTCCACGGTGTGGGCAGCCGGGAAGTGACAACCGCCCTCATACCCGTACCAGCACGCGAGACCAAATTGGTCAAAATCAAATCCTTCCTACACCCCCACATGTCTCTCTTATCTCTACGACTAACTGTACTCACACTCCCTTTTCTCACTGCACCGCTAATGCAGACGAAGCGAGATCACGAAACGTCGTTCCTGGTCTCTTGAAACCCCGTTCTAGACTACATATTGGAGCTTTTAATGTACGGACATTGTGTCAAATAGGGCAACAGGCATCATTAGCTAGGACTTTAGAAACTCGTGCCATCGATGTATGCTGCGTCTCGGAAACGCGCATACAGGATCCTAGTAAAGTCATTAACCTGATTCCACCTTGTCAAAACGAAGAAGCAGCTCGATTTACTCTTCGTGTATCCGGTAGCCCTGATGCTGCTTCCAGGGGTCTTGCTGGCGTAGGCATAGCGTTGAGTCCTAGGGCAGAATTATCTCTCCTAGACTGGATCCCAGTAGATAGTCGTTTGTGCGCTGTCCGACTAAACGGGACAGTAAGGACTCGTAAGGATAGGGACACTCGCCGTTGCCTCTTCGTCATATCTGCCTATGCCCCCACTGACTGCAGTGCAGACGATGTTAAAGATGAGTTTTACAGAAAGCTTTCGGACCTCCTCCAAAAAGCTAAGCGCTCTGACATAGTAATAATGGCTGGTGACTTTAATGCTCAAGTAGGTAGACTAGGTGAAAAGGAAAGACATCTTGGTGGATGTTATAGTGTAGCGACTGAGAGAACAGACAATGGCGACCGTCTGTTGCAACTATGCTCAGATAACCGCCTATTCTTAGCGAACACCAACTTTAGGCATAAGGAAAAGCATCTGCTGACGTGGCGACCTCCAAAGTCGTCTCAACGTTGGACTCAACTAGATCACATC